TTGTATAAGTATTCTTTCGTGAAATATTTATAAATTATATTTAAAGCATATTTAAAGCACGGAAAACGGAATGTGCGGATTATTTTCATTAATTTAATTTTCTTTCATTAAATACTGCTCCATAATATTTTTGCGAAGATTGTGTCTCTTCGCAATACTTCTGTGCGAAGCTTGTACTCGCAATATTTCTGCGAGGATTTGCTTCACTGTGTAATATTCTTGTGAAACTTAATTTTTTCGCAATTTCTTTGGAAATATTGTTTAACAAGAGTCGCAACGTCAAGATAAGTGTACACAAAAAATCGAATTCTATTAATATTAATATAAATTAATATAAATCGATAATATATTAATATAAATTGAAATTTATTAAATAATTTAAAATAAAATATATGCAAAACTCGAATGCAATTTACCATTCGCGCATTTAATTTAAAATTTATTGAATTTCTTATGAATCAAATCGTGAATATATAATTAACGAATCGAAAACTAAAAATCATAGCAAAATCTATTCATGCTAATATTAATAATTACGCAAAGTAAATAATTTGGTAAAAAATTCTTTATGAAATACTTTATGAACTTGTAATTTTACAAAATCTATGTTTCTATCTCTGACGTGTTAATCGCAATGATAAATATATTACAATTAAAAACTCACAATCTCTGGAAGATGTCTTAATTTTCATGAATGTCTATATTCTCTATAATTTCGAATTTTTTTCGTTCAAGCTACAATTATTATTGTATAGAAAATAAAAAATTAGAAAGTGTAAAACCAAGAAAGATAAACTAAAAATCGCGAGATCTCTATTAACACGAACGCGAAATATTTCCAATTTTGATTTATTGCTTCGCATCTTACGAAACGCGAGCGTCAATTTTGACACTCGAAAAAGTTCATGCAGAATCGTCAAGAACAAAAAGGTATAAGTCAACATGATAATAACTAGTATTTATGTATATTTTGTAAAACATTATATGGATTTTATTAATAGAGATTAATTTTAAATTATTTTAAAATATTAAAAGCATTTATTCAGCTGCGACTACAAAATTAAGCATCAATTAGAATTATTAAAATCAAATTTTAGAAAGTATTATAACAAAATAATTATTAAAATATTGAACAAATATCTATTTTCACAGAGTAGGAACTAACTTATACCTCTTTTTCGTTCGACGTTTTCTATACACAAAAGTTCACATCTACATGCAAAAATCTATAAGCGGAATAAATCGCACTGATTTCAAAAATAATTTGATTTCGGCGGAAATAAAAACCATCACCTGTACCCTAAGTTCTACTTATCGATATCTGGCTCAGGACCGGCCACATTCTGCATCCGAATCTGCAACAAAAACATGATATCACTGATTAGATTAAGTTGAATAATTTAACAGATAATTGCAAATTATTTGTTAATTCGTAATGTTATTTTGTATTAAAATTAAATCTACCATAATTTAAGAACAATTTCTTTATTATTTCGGCAAAAATGTAATTACTATTTTTAAAACATTTTCTATAAAATATAAAAATATTTAAATGATTAAAATTATAAGTAAAATAAATGTTATATTTACCTTCGAGCCGATCCCGCTTTGCCCGAACCGGATCCTCCGGTGCTGTATCTGCCTCCATTGAATTTTAGGTACTGGCCACGTGCTGCATTCAAATCTGCAACAAAAAACATAATACCGCTGATTAGATTAAGTTCAATAATTTAACAGATATTAAAAGCAATTCTAGGCCAATACAGAACGAGTAAAAAGATTTTTTTTTATTAAATAATATATTATTAATAAAATATTTATTAAAAATGATTTCATACTATGCGGAACGTTTCGACTTGATTAGGCTTTCAGCAGTCGCAAATATACAAATCAGATTTACATTAATTACATTTTGTTTGATTATGTAGCTACAAGTTAACCTGCAGTTAGGTTAGCATTTCGCGGAAGATTCGGAAGTGATCGCGCATTCGACCTGAGTGGCCATGAAAAGAAAACAACTCGCGAGATTCTCTCTTTCGATGAGAATTAATGTAACATTAACACAGTGTAATTATTGTCGTTACTCGCTTGTCGTTATTTTGTTCTAACTCGGCAAGAATACGTGCAACATCGATTGTATTCAATTCTGCCGCGACTTCGACGAAATGCGCGCCTGCGACGCATATCTATATCAGCATTCAGCACATACGAATATTATAATGATACGTACTTTCTTCACGCCGTGTCTTCTCCCCACTTGCGCATTAATTTCGTGTGCTGCGGCATTCCTTCTCACTCTCACTCTATCATTCTATGTTCGTGTCTCTTGATCTTTCTCGGCTCAACCTCGATCTATATTTCAATCCCCGACTCTCTTTTTCTTTCTGTTTCTCTGACAAAAAAATTTCAAGTTACATATTACAATTAATTATATGTATTTCTTAATTTGAACTACAGATTTCAGTACGTATATATTGCACTCATGTATTGTAAAAAGAAATTAAGGATCCGCGATTTTCTCACACAGTTCTACGAAGTAATACAGTTAGTACGTACTATTGAGTACCGCTGTGTGAGTCTCCGTTTCCACGATTTTATCGTCACTCCATATTCTCGGTGAAAGTATGCAGTACGCACATACGACGTGCTCACTTCCGGCACGATTATTTTGTCAAAATTCAATGCCCCGAGAGAGAGTAGAGTGATAATATTACAAATTACATCGTGCGTCGTTTCCCGCGGCGACCTTCAGGGCGTCACGCGACGACGTCACACGGATCACGCTAGTACGCTACGCGCACCGCGCAGGCGCACGCCGCTAGGAGCGAGGCTCGGCGCGCTCGGCGCTGGGCTCGAGGCGCAATGGTGGGGATGCCACAGTGGGCACAGTGGCGGGCGGCGCGCGGCGTAGCGATTTCCAGCGCATTTTCAAACTCCAATGAATCGTCGTCCGCTCGTAGATTAGCGACATTAGACAAGATTTGTACAGCTTTCTGCAATTCCTCTACTACGTTCACTGTCAACGACGATAACGCATCATTCAAGAATGTTTTTTTCTGCAATGTAAGGAATATTTCGTTAAATACAAACAAACAAATAATGCGCGTAAATATATTATAAATTAAATTTCGTACTTCTCCGTCCAAAGGATAGACCGATGGTTTATTTTCCGAATCCTCAGACTGTGCCGCGTCCATAGCATATTTGAGTAATTCTTGCAAATTGGTCGGTTGCCTCGGTTGATTTGGCAACGATTGCGGTGGGATTTGCTCGGCATTATTGAAGGTCGAAGGACCTTCAATGGACAGCGGTCTCGCACTGCTGTTCGACTAACCTTGCCTGGCATCTTTTTTCGATTCTCTATTTTCAGGACTGCAAGAGGCAAAAGATCATATTCGTTTATGTTAAAAAACGCATCAAGTGGTTAAGTTTAGGTTAATCGTACCGTATCCAAATAACGTTAATACCTACTTGCTCATTTTGACGCCACTCTGTTTAACTGAATAACGCCGATTTAAAATCAGCTTCTTCGCGAACAATCCTCAACTACTTATGATTCATCGTATTTCTCTTTATGGGATTTTATATTCCTCGATTACATTCATGAATCTCTTCATATATGAGATGTCGCACTACATTGTGATCGTATTTAAAGCCCGAGTATCGTATTTGAATTTTCATGCATATACGGACTGTGTATATAATATAAAGTTAGCATCAGTATTATTTGCAATAAAATATGTAAACGAAGAGAATAAGTAAAAAAGTAATAAATAAAAAGCTTTGGAAGTTGAAATGATCAAAATGTTTAATTTTAATTATGCTTATGTCGATAAAGTCACTGTGCAGACTTTATACATATATACGTTTAACTTTCGGTAAAGTCATCGCTGACTACCTGTACCTTTGGTTTAGTGCAAGATTACAATTCACCAATGTCAATTAAATAATTTTTTGGAATAACAATAATGGGAATAAAAATAATATTGTTCCAGAAACTATACAACGTAGAATTGGAGTTCACAGGTTTTCTCGATGTCTGAAGATATAACAGCCGTACGTGGCTTTCGTGCGAATAGCATTTTCGCAATATCAAGCTGCGAGATAGATTCATATTTAATGTAGAACGTACAATCAACTAACTATTCGGCGTTTCGTGAATAGGTGAATTTACCCTTGTGCCAGCATGAAAACTTTATTGGCTCATCGAATATTCTTTTACAGATTTCAAATGGAGCGGCAAATTGAGTTCTGTGATGATCAGAGTGATGATTCCTTTTATTAAATTTTCATTCTTTTAGTAGAACACAATACCACGTTTTACTTACTGTTTCATTGTGCGGTTATACAAATTTTTTAGTATAAAATTTTAAAGAGAAGGCATAAATGATGATTGAGTCTATCAAGTATGTGAGATCTTGTTCGAAATCTTTAATTTTCATTGACAATTGATTATCGATTACAAATATTATCTTGTTCAGTTTGAAATACAGATATTATAATTCTTACACAAAGTAAACTGAAACAGAGATAAACGGTAGACATAACTTATCTCGCTTTGCTCAAAAGGTCTTCATTGTTTACCATTTACTGTTAATGTAAACGTGAGACCAACCACATGTTACTTCTGTTTCCTAGCCAAAATAACCATGGTCACTCAGGGGTTACAGTCCTGGCCACAGCAAAGACCACGAGCAGGGATAACCCCCAAGTTTCGTCCGTAGTGTAACGGAATGCACAACTCGAGGAAATATCAAACTTTGCGAGCTCGCGTCCCGCATCAATACTGAATTATGTGATGTTCGTGATTCGAATCTCTCTCCATCTCAACCGAATTTTGTTATCTCGATTTTGAGCAAATACATCATTCATCCGCTTCTCTATTCCGCGAAAAGATATTTTATCAGAATAAACAGAATAAGAAGGAAAAAGACGAAAGAAACAAAGTTATTTATCTGTGTAATTGTAATATTATCAAAGATTTAATTTTAAATTTACAGAAATCCGAACATCATCGATCATCATGGGAGAAACGAGACACTTTTGCCAGCTAGTAGAGAAAAGAGTCGATTTCGCAGTTTGTCCTGGGAACAATACGATCCAGTACATCAGAAATATTTAGAAATTGGTAAGTAATACTACATGGTAGCATGCGTTTTGCAATATTTGACACAAATGGATGTTTTAAATATTAACTATTATCGAAATAAAAACAAATTTAACAAAATAATAAAACAACAAAATCTCCAAACTTTTTTATCTTTCTGGAATATTTAAACTGAAATATATAAAGAACCTAAAATAAAATAACCATTTTATTATAATAAATACATTGTAGTTGAATTTTATATCAATTTTGCAACTCTACATTTCATTATTTTTATCATAAAATAACTGGAAGTGAAAAGTTCAGAATCAAAACGAAGAGAGAAACGGACAACTAATCCCAATAGAAAAACTTTTGATTGTCATTGCACTGATCCAACGAAACTCTTTTAAATGTCAGGAATTAGCAAACTGTGATAATTCTGTGTTCTCATTTTCAAGTGAAAAATCTAATGCAAATGATTGGAAAAACAAAGATACTCTTTAGTTACTAAGCAAATATCGAGACCATCAAATGGTTCATTTCACAAGTAGCCACTCGACGTTCGATTAGTCTTCACTTAACCGCGCATGAAGAAAGCGCGCTGGCTGCCGAGTTAGCTCGAATTAGAACGGGTCAGATCCCGGGCGAGCTTTCATCGTTTCGTACGTGAAGAAAGAAAGGACGGGAGATGAAGTGTCGCGCCAGGAACATGGCTTGCCACTCGTGTGTAGCTATTCGAGCTCAGGAAAGAGCGGCTAGAGACTTTCCGCGAAGTCATTTTTATTGTGAGGACTGTGCTCGAGCACGTCGTAGATGACGCGAAATGAGCCCTTTGACCTAAAAAAGCCTGTGGCTTATTCTGTAGGCTATCCATTTATGTGTCCGCGAGAAGTCGGACGCCCAAACTAATTACTTTTCCAACATCGTCATACTTAATATCAGTAATATTGGGGTAAAAAGGCGTTATATAGGTTGTTTCCAAATTTACTTAAACAAGCTTAAATTTCCGATTTTTAAAGCTTTTTTTCCAAAATAAAACTTTTTATTGTTGTGTTGAAAAAATTATATTTTACGTTTTTAATATATTTTTTTAATGATAAACTGTACCTCTCCCCCCCCCTCTCTCTCTCTCTCTCTCTCTCTCTCTCTTGAATTGTGCTAAAGATATATTGTATACTGCCGTACAAAATAAACTACTCACACGTCGAAGAATTAGATTTGACTTGAAAAAAAATTTTTATCAGGATCATCCTGCTATAAGAGACATGGTGGAAGATGCTCGCCATTTTTCACCGGAAAGTCTGGTGAAAAATCGCGTTGAACCAATAGCCTGCATTCCACGTTGCTCAAGTCGAGTCGAGTTGACTCGAGTCGATTCCCCGAGACGCCCGCGCGTGATCCGAGAAAAATGTGCCGTGAAAATGGAACAGAAGGGCGGATGCTTTCCCTCCCTTTGTGATTAATTTTTTTTGTACTTCCATCTCTTATCTGGCCGGAGTAAGAGGCTTCATCCGGCTTACGTAACAGGGGTAATAGAATTCTCGCTAGAGATATCGTTATATCATATCTAACTTATTCGTTGGAATCTGTATTATGAAGATTTAAATTCATCCTCGTATCTGTAAACATTATTACTGGAAAGTATATTTTCTATATCTTTTATCTTTTTTTCATAAATCAGTTTATTTGTATAAATAATTTTTTTTATCAAACATCATTGAACTTTCAGAGTTTTAATAATAAGTTACAAATTTTTGTTGTCACAACTGTGCCCTATCTAAACCCAATCGCACAAATTTACAGTTATTCAATACACAATATCATAACATGATCAACAAAAAGCACCAGAGCTTAATTTGAGAAACGTCAGGCATTATCGGAGAGTATATTTCGAATTTTACGTAGCGAGGAAATTCAATAATCTTTTGTTCCTTCGATTCGGTTTAATCATCGATTTCCGGCAAGACGGGCGGGGCTTTCGACCGAAACGAAAACAGCAATCGTCGGCTCGAGTGGTCGTTGTTTTACGTCTCGGCATTCCGCTTTTGTTCGCCTATCCGCCCTCACCGCAGTGTTCGCTATCTACTTCGCAATAGTTTTCACCCCACCTTCTCCTCCTTTGTGGCTACCCCTTAGTCCTCATATAAACGTGCTTTGCTTTAGCATTGATTAACTTTCATGTCAGGTGAAATATTGTCTGAATTTATTTATGCTACAATTGTTTTAGATGTTGTACATTTCTTGAAAATTTGATATCTTGATTATTAGATTTATCATTAAGAAAATGAAGTATATCAATAAATTCTTTATTCTACGCTTTCTGTCTTTACAATATCAAATCATAGGGTACAGCGCGGTAATTTGAATAGTGGGGTAATTTGAATAACAGTAAGCATTTGCAAGAATTTCAGAAAAATAAGAGATTTTAAGATACATTTCATTAGTTCAGACATTGATCTAATGAATCTAAATTACCCCGCTGTACCCTATATCTAAATCTGTAAAAGCTCTAAAATCTATTTTGTATTATTCTTTTTCAAACAGGCTTACTATATTTAAGTTGAAACTTCAGGATCCCCTGAAATCCACTAATCCAAAATATAAAGCCTCCCTGCTGAGTTCAAGAATTTAATTTTATGCTATAATCTGAGGCTTTTCGTACTTCTCAGTTTGTGAAAGTTAAATTCCGAATGTCTGAAATCAATAAAGTCTAGAACCTAAAAAAAGAAATGAATATCCATAATACGAAAACGAGTTTTTGAATCAGCTGGATTCCAGTTGGATGACCTATAACGAATCTTTAATTAAAGCAGTGAAAAAATTTGGCAACACGGAATACACACAGAAATTAGAACAATTGCACATATCTTGACAGCAATGTCTGCAGTTCTAGACATTTTTAAACGATCTATCACTAAAGCTTCCATGATTCACATATCGCAATACATGCGGTTGTTACGGGTGCTATTGTTCGTAATTAAATCAGATCCCTTCGTATTTTCTTTTTTTTTTTCGTTAATACGCTGAGAGCCCGTAAAGCCATGACGAGCACGGTGCTGGGGTTTATATCCCGTTCGTGATGAACGGTGACATTTGACACGGGTGGACGCTGTCGCGCGTTCTCATAACACCGGGCATATAAACACCTACAAGGTGTTCCATAAGCTTCGCAGTAAACTTGCATAGTATAATTTTACAGTATGCTTGATCTTTGTCAAATATTTTATTAGGAATAACGTGTATGCGCACACAATTACTCTCTTTTTTATTATTATTTTTCAGACACTCAACATAAGCGTCACTAAAATTCGACTTATCTTATTAAAAAAAAACGAACAAAGTAACAGTGCAATTATTTCTTAAAATTTATTACATAAATGTAAACAACATTTATCGTGTTAAAGAGAAAGATGACAGAAAATTTAAAAAATTGATTAAATGGCAATTAATCAAACATTCACTACAATTGTCTGCAAATTTATCAAAAAATATTGCTTCTAAAGTTGAATGAAGGTCTTATGCAAAACTTGTGTAAACACCCTATATAGGAGCAGAGCGCGAGAAGCTTGCAACGGGTTGGCAAGGCGCGGCGACGTGAAATAACGAGCTTAAATAGATTACGCGAAGATTACAAGGCAAGGCTAGCCAGCTTTCCGCGTGTGCGAATTATGAGGCGACGCGTTCCGGTTAATCGATCATACCCGTGCCATTAATGACTGCCTAAAATTCAATATCGACTTATAAATGAAATTGGTGAAAAAAAATTTAGTTAGTCATGATAAAGTACAGTATACATGTATTAACAACTGACAAAATTCAATTGACAAAAATTTGTATGCATTTAATTAATTAGATTTAAAGAAAAACATTAGATTAAAGAAGTAAAATGTTTTTAAATTTATTTGGAAAAAATTTTATTAATTTTATGCAATACAATTGAAACAATGAAAGAATGAAATCACGCAATAAATAGATTTATATCGCTCTGTATATTTCAAACTACTCCCTCCTCTTAATTTGTGAGTTTTTTTGTGACCCTGATTTACTATATCAATAAAGAGAGTTTACAAAACGGAAGTTAGCCTCTATGGCAGCTGCAAAGAACAAGCTACTCCGGAGGTTGTTCTCCTTAGAGCGGGTTTTCTCCCCCCCCCCTCTCCTCTATTGGGGAGGCTCTTCCTTATCCTAGGATTAAAGGCGGGATGAAACCTGGAAAGGCTTGACGGCAGCGGCGTCCCAAGACTATCGCCGAAGTATAAAGCGCTAAACAGCAAGTTCATCCGTCGAACTTTCGAAGCCTCGCGACTTTGCTCTTACCGAGATTAGTCGGGCTGGGCCGGAAGTCCTACGGGAAAGTTAGCAATTTATTACAAAATATTGAAGGTGACACCGCCGAACTCGCGGTCCGCTTTCTACTCTTCCTTTGGCCGTCTCGCGCAATAAATATCCCGTGTATTGGCTTCCGTCGTCTTCCCGTATTCGTTCAACTTCGTGTTACTTTGACAAATCAAAACTTATTGATAGCAGAGATTCGCATAGTGTGAAATATGTAAATAACACGAATTAATAATTTGATATAAAAAACAGAAAAATTAGCCCAAGATAGTCTAAAATCTTTTATTCTACCATCTAAATTAATTATTAAAGTAAAAGCTTACAATTGTTTTATTAGCGTAAATGTTCTTATATAAAATAATAAATTCTGCATGCGTCATTGATAATTATTCTTTTGTTAGGGCTACAATTTTTCATCCGGAGCCTTCTTTTACTATAGTTACATCGTACTAATATTAAACTTAGTTACCGAGTTAAACTCTCGGCAAACTAAAGTCTGCACGTGTTTTAATTAAAAGATCCCCGTTGCATTATATATATACGTTATATATATTGTCTCACACTCACTCTATTTATGTGATAGTATATATCCATTCTTCAAGTCAGTGCCTATACGGGAACCGTATGTGCGTGTGAAGTTAGAGGGAAAAGTTCGGTCAATCCAATCGGTACTGTAAACCATACTAGTGAACTTTACCAGTACG